CATTAGACAAACTCTCAACAAAATGAGTCATACTCACATCTTCAATCATTTCCTCATACATGCAAGAATCGTGAATAGTTGAAGGGGCATAACTTGATGAGACTATTGTATGATCGTATTGAACATCTAGTTCAAATTCATCATGTGAAGCCTAATCCCAATAATCAGGTTTAAATTCCCTACGGTATAGATCTAATTTTACTTTTTCAGGTGTCAGGTATGATTGATTCTTATGCTTCGCACAGGGGCATCAGAACATATATTCTAAAAGGTAAACTGATAGTTGCATTGCCGCATGCACAAACTCTTCAAAACCAGCCAAAAACTCGTCAGTTAATCCTTTTCTTCCTGGATAAAATTTGTTATTCATCCATGATCTAACGCTTAGATATCCATATGAACCATACATGTAGCTCTATAGATTAGTACAACATTATTGTGTTCTACTGAGTGTTATATTTTTTTTATTTAAATCATAGACCAATTTCACGCCTACATAGAACTTTAGACTATAATTTACACATTCTACCCGAAACCTTAGGTCAACTATACATCATAAATGAAACCCAAAGCCTACAAACCCAAAGAATCAACCAAACTCATTAACACCCAAACTATATAAGAAATTTACATAGCCCAAATTTCTTATATATTTAAATATCTCACACATATATTTTCATATTTACATATATAGCACAATCTTTTTATGCATTTACATATCTCACACCTTAATTTTAAAATTTGCATATTTACATTCATAGAACATGATTACATACATAGTACTAATGTTATGTGTTTACATATCTCACAACTAAATATATTTAAATACATAGCACAAATTTTTTTATGTTTTTACATATCTCACATCTAAATTTTGATAATATTTACATATTTACATAAATAGCACGGATCTAATGCATTCACATATCTCAAACCTAAACAAATCATTTACATACATTTCAAACCCTATTTAAAACCATTAGATCTAAAATGACATATTACAAAATTCTTATCTATTTACATATTTCAAACCTAAATATTTATATTTAAGCCCATATCATTCTAAACTTATGTAAAATCATAAAATCCATATATATTACATTTCTAATGAAGGAATACTTAAAAAAAACATGAGCAAAACTTATGTATTTTCGGATCTAACATCTATGCAAGCAAAAAGATTTGAAAACTCTGTAGAAGAAGATTTCTTACCTTGGAGTAGATTTGAGAGGTGAAGCAGAGCCAGAATTGCCGGAAAATCTGGAATTGGACGAAGAAAAGTCGGAAGGGAATGAGAGGAGTTCGGGCAAGAAGTGGCGGTTGCAGTTCTCAAAAGCCCTATTTTAAGGCCTTTTTGCGTGGGCATTTGCGTCGACGCTAATGCAGCGCTACAATGTCCATTTAGCGCCTTCTCTCGACGCAATTCTTCTGAGTTGATTTTTATGGGAGCGGGACTGCAGGGGACGCTGATCACACACAAATCGAAGGCTAATTTTGCTCGGATATTATTTCCGACGCTAATTCTGAGGTTAATTCACAATCTTTCCGTAATGCGGAAGGAAAACTCACAGGCTAGAAAGAACGAGAGAAGAAGGCAGGCACGGGAGAACGTTAGCTGGATGTGGCTTCACCGATGGCTCGCCGAGCAGGACCTACGGAGGGTAGAGAGGGGAGGCGCTCTGTTAGTTCAGAAATCCAACAGTGAGAGAGAGAGAGAGAGAGAGCTGGAGTTTTCGGGTTTTTGTGTCGTGAGGGAGAAGCGGGGTAGATCGGTTCTAAGGGCCTCGTCGGAGTTGTACGAACAGTGGGGAGAAGTTTTGGGTTGCTTGCGTGAGAGCGAGAATGAAGAATGAGGGGGAAGATGCGCGGGGGACTGAGGGAGGCGGATGCAGGAGCCAGGAAGCCAGGAAAATGCGGAAACGGGGCTGGGATCTTTTGATAGGATCAAAGAAGGTCGTGGGATTAGAAAATATGTTAAAATGGTTTTATTATATTTTATTAAAACCTTTTATATTTATCTATATCTATATATATTTAAAAGGAATGATCCGAGATTATTAGTCGAGCCCCGGTTATATCTAAGTACGTTAAATATTCGTATAATACGTCCTATATACTGGGGATTTGAACACATGACCTGTGGGAACTTATGACCCTCAGAGAGATTGCTCAACAGGTTTACTTACATGCATATTTAATACATATATGTTAACATACCTATTTAATTCATATATTTATATTTATATTTATACATATATCTGAGTGTGTGTGTGTGTGTGTGTGTGTGTGTGTGCCACTAAAATGCTTGCATCACCCTCTCTACTTATGTATTTTAAGTTTTATATGGTCTCTTTCGTGTCTATAATTTATGTGCGAAAATACAATAATATAAGTATCCTCTCTGGACAAAGTTGACATTTAGGGCATGCTCTTGCTGTCCATTGTCCATTTTACGATCTGAGATCGTTTGAGTGATTTTAGTGACGATTGACATGATTCGAATTTGATTTACACATGTCGTATTAGCAGTTATTTTGTCATGCTTTCACCATTCGATCATGAATGACTACTTTTTAGGTAACTTTGGTGCTTTGAACACCATGTTATAGTTTTTGTCTTTTGCCCACTCCTCTTATGTCCGACCAATTTTTCTTGTGAAATTTATATGAGGGTGATCAGCCACTTCCACATGTGTATCTTAATTACATTGTAATGTCTTATCCCAAAAATGATATAACAAATAACGATGTATTAAAGTCTCAGTGACAAATATTTCTAACTGTCATACTCAAAATATGACTTATTTCAGACTCTTGAAGTTTTTTATATGTCATATACTGACAAGTATTGATATAAAATAATAAACCCGAGGAAACGATTGTTGCCACCAACAGGTGTAGCACCAATAACAACCTATGTGACCAAAAATGATTTATTGGCTAAGTGCTACTATAGCTTCCAATTACAACCTCTATGACCAATTAATGATATTGTAGCTACTAACTATGGTCTATGTGAGAAACTATGACATGGCTAATTGCTATTACAACTTCCAACTACAACATATTTAAGTAACCACAACTATGTAGTAAACTGCTATTGCAGCTATCAAATATGACATATGTGACCAACTACAGCCTATGTGGCTAACTACTACTACAACTTTCAACTTCGACTTGTGGCCTACTGAACTACTTCAGCTACCAACTACGATTTATGTGGATAAATGCTACTGCAGCTTTCAACTACGACCCATGTGGCCAACATATGCTACTACAACTACCAACTACTGTCTATGGGACCAACTACGACCTATGTGGCTAAATGTGAATGGAACTTTCAACTACTTCGATTATGAACAACTAAAGCTGCTGCAACTACCAACTAGGAATTATATGAACAATTGATGTACTACAGCTACCAAATATGGTCTTTATAGCCAACTAATATTACTACAACTGCCAACTATGACCTATATGACTAATTGCTGCTATAGCTACCAATTACAATCTATTTGGCCAACTGAAGCTGTTACAACTAACAAATATAGCCTATATGACCAACTACAACCAATATGACTAATTGTTATTGCAACATTGAATGATGGCCTCCATGGCCAACTGATGCTACCACAACTACCAACTATAATTGATATGACTAACTACAACTTCCAACTATGACCTTGGTGGCTAACCGACGCTGCTGCATTTACTAATTAGGCCTATGTGACCAACTATAGTCTATGTGACTAACTACTACTGTAATTTCCAACCACAACTTTTGTGATAAACTGATGTTATTATAGCTACCAACTATTGCATAAGTGACAAACTATGACTTATATAGCTAACTATTACTATAACTTCCAACTACGACATTTATGCCCAACTAAGGCCACTACAACTACCCAATTCAACATATGTGACCAACTGCAGCTATCAACTACAACTTATGTAACAAATAACGATATATGTTACCAACTATGACCTTTGTGGTTAACTGCTACAACAGCTTCCCACTATAGGCTTTGTGGTCGTCTGACGCATTTGTAGCAATCAACTAGAACTAATGTAACTTGTTACTACAATAGCTTCCCATTACAACCTCTGTGATGGATTGATGCCCTTGTAGCTACCAATTATGGCCTAAGTCACCAATTTCTATTATATATTCTTACTATAGCATCTATGGCCGACTGAAGCTCTTGCATCTACCAATTATGACTTATGTGGCCAGTCACTATGATAGGTTTCCACTATGGCCTATATGGTTGACTGATGCTCTTGTAGCTACCAACTACGCCTTTTGTGGCCAGTTTCTACTGCAGTTTCTCTCAATGATCTATGCGGTCGAGTGACACTCTTCCAGCTGTTGAGCATGGCCTATGTTGTCAGTTACTACTACAACTTCTAATTACGACCTCTATGGCCAATTAATAATATTCGAGCCACTAATTATAGCCTTTGAGGCCAACTACTATTGTTACTGTTTCTAACTGTGACTTCTGTAGCCAATTATTGCTATTACAACAAGAAACTGTATGAGTTGTAGCCCAATTATGACAATTATTGTGGAACTACAATTCTACAGTTGTGATTATCATTTTTGCAATTATATATTCTGTAATTCAGGAAAAGAGTGGATGTATATATTTAGAATCACATAATGAATTACTTTGATTGGGCTAGACCTCATGATTTTTTTTCATTTTGAGATTTTTTCGATTTTTTCACAAAAATAATCCTGACGTCTTCTCCTTCAATTTTTTTTATTATCATTGTCTTTATTATATCTTTGTACAACACTAAGACATTAAATATCATTCTACCGCCGTCAATCTTTTGACACACAACAATACATAACAGGACACAATGAAGAAAAATGATTCATGTAGTCAACCTCACATAGTGAGATAAAGGGTGGTGGTTTTTTTGTTGTTGTTGGTTTTAGAATTAGACATTGATGAATAAGCAATAATGTAGGGTCATTCATGCTCAGGATCATGCAACCTTTCTGTCTTCCTCATTCATGCGCAAATAAAAATGCTAAATACACCTTCAATAAATGCTAAAAATAAAATTCTATCAGACTACCCTCCCTAAGACCTCTTTCAACTTATAATTTAAGAAATCTTCATCCCAATTCCTCATCCATCTGTTTATTTTCTTCACCTGCATACAATCACAAAGCTCTGAAACATGTAACGGGCCCTGCTCGGAGATATTATGATTCGCCAACTTGCAAAGCTGCTCCTTGGGCCAAGTTTTTCAGCTTTGGTTCGCAAGTAGAGGTTTCTTCTTATCATCCCATGCCTCCAACCTTTGCTGGGCTTTTTCAACCTACAATCAAAAAACAAATTGCGATTTAATATCAGTAGTGTACCTATATAATGCCATTAATGTTTGTTGAGAAATTAGGGCGAAAAAAAACACTAATCGACAC